TGCCTTATCCATTAGGCCACGAGGGCGGCGGACTGAGATGGCGTGTGGAAAAAAGGAAATGAAAATGTATCATTCAAATATAATAAAACATTTTGACAAAATTTCTCTTTCAAGAATTAATTCGTGTAAAGAAAAGTGCAAGATATGTGACTTCTTCCGTCCACTCTGCTCTAGCGATTTTTCTCAATAAATCTCACACAGTATTTGTAAAATAGTCACACTTAAATTGAATTAAAAACATGACCTATTCACTTGGGAAAGCGACGGGCAAAACGCATGCCTCTTCTGAGAACTCTTACTCTCGGCGGGACTCGAACCCACAATCCCCGGTTTAGGAGTCCGATGCCTAATCCATTTGGCCACGAGGGCGGCGGTCTCAGATGGCGCGTGGAAAAAAATGAAAATGTTTCATTCAAGTATAATAAAAAGTTTTTGACAAAAATTTCTCTTTCAAGAATTAATTCGTGTAAAGAAAAGTGCAAGATATGTGACTTCTTCCGTCCACTCTGCTCTAGCGATTTTTCTCAATAAATCTCACACAGTATTTGTGAAATAGCCACACTTAAATTGAATTAAAAACATGTCCCAGTCACATGGGAATGCGACGTGCAAAACGCATGCCTCTCCTGAGAAATCTTACCCTCGGCGGGACTCGAACCCGCAATCCCCGGTTTAGGAGACCGATGCCTTATCCATTAGGCCACGAGGGCGGCGGTCTGAGATGGCGTGTGGAAAAAAATGAAAATATTTTATTCAAGTACAATAAAATCTTTTTGGGAAAATTTCTCTTCCAAGAATTAATTCGAGTAAAGAAAAGTGCAAGATATGTGACTTCATCATCCGCTCTCCTGGGCTCTAGCTCTTGGGATATTTCTCAATAACTCTCGGCACAGTGTTTGTGAAATAGCCAGATGGCTTAAATTGAATTAAAAACATGACCTATTCACTTGGGAAAGCGACGGGCAAAACGCATGCCTCTTCTGAGAACTCTTACCCTCGGCGGGACTCGAACCCGCAATCCCCGGTTTAGGAGACCGATGCCTTATCCATTAGGCCACGAGGGCGGCGGTGTAAGATGACATGTGGAAGAAAAAGGAAAATGTGTCATTCAAGTATAATAAAATGTTTTTGACACAAAATTTCTCTTTCAAAAATTAATTCCAGTAAAGAAAAGTGCAAGATATGTGACTTCCTCCGTCTGCTCTAACTTTGGGATATTTCTCAATAACTCTCATTCAGTATTTGTGGAGTAGTAACACTTAAATTGAATTAAAAACATGTCCCAGTCACATGGGAATGCGACGTGCAAAACGTGATTTCTCTCCTGAGAAATCTTACCCTCGGCGGGACTCGAACCCGCAATCCCCGGTTTAGAAGACCGAGGCCTTATCCATTAGGCCACGAGGGCGGCGGTCTGCCATGGCATGTGGGAAAAAATGAAAATGTTTCATTCAAATATAATAAAACATTTTTGACAAAAATTTCTCTTTCAAGAACTAATTCGATTAAAGAAAAGTACAAGATATGTGACTTCATCCGTCCGCTCTGCTCTTGGGATATTTCTCAATAACTCTCACAGTATTTGTGAAATAGCCACACTTAAATTGAATTAAAAACATGTCCCAGTCACATGGGAATGCGAAGTGCAAAACGCATGCCTCTCCTGAAAACTCTTATCCTCGGCGGGACTCGAACCCGCAATCCCCGGTTTAGGAGACCGATGCCTTATCCATTAGGCCACGAGGGCGGCGGTCTGAGATGGCGTGTGGAAAAAAATGAAAATGTTTCATTCAAATATAATAAAACATTTTTGACAAAAATTTCTCTTTCAAGAACTTATTCGATTAAAGAAAAGTACAAGATATGTGACTTCATCCGTCCGCTCTGCTCTTGGGATATTTCTCAATAACTCTCACACAGTATTTGTGAAATAGCCACACTTAAATTGAATTAAAACATGTCCCAGTCACATGGGAATGCGACGTGCAAAACGCATCTCCGAACCTCAGTCCCTCTCCTGAAATCTTACCCTCGGCGGGACTCGAACCAGCAAAATGCCCGGTTTTAGGAGACCGATGCCTTATCCATTAGGCCATATGTGAGGCGGCGGTCCTGAGATGGCGTGTGGAAAAAAATGAAAATGTTTCATTCAAATATAATAAAACATTTTTGACAAAAATTTCTCTTTCAAGAACTAATTCGATTAAAGAAAAAGTACAAGATATGTGACTTCATCCGTCCGCTCTGCTCTTGGGATATTTCTCAATAACTCTCACACAGTATTTGTGAAATAGCCACACTTAAATTGAATTAAAAACATTAACAGTCACATGGGAATGCGACGTGCAAACGCAAAAATCTTACCCTGTCCCAGCAATCCCCGGTTTAGGAGACGATGGCGTGTGGAAAAAAAAAATGAAAATGTTTCATTCAAATATAATAAAACATTTTTTGGAACTTATTCGATTAAAGAAAAGTACAAGATATGCGACTTCATCCGTCCGCCTGCACTCTTGGGATATTTCTCAATAACTCTCACACAGTGTTTGTGAAATAGCCACACTTAAATTGAATTAAAACAAGTTCAGTCACATGGGAATGCGACGTGCAAAACAAAACGCATGCCTCTCCTGAGAAATCTTACCCTCGGCAAGATATGGACTCGAACCACAATCCCCGGTTTGGAGAAATCTTACCCTGGCGGGGGAGACCGATGCCTTATCCATTAGGCCACGAGGGGCGGCGGTCTGAGATGGCGTGTGGAAAAAATGAAAATGTTTCATTCAAATATAATAAAACATTTTTGACAAAAATTTCTCTTTCAAGAACTTATTCGATTAAAGAAAAGTACAAGATATGTGACTTCATCCGTCCACCCTGCTCTTGGGATATTTCTCAATAACTCTCACACAGTATTTGTGAAATAGCCACACTTAAATTGAATTAAAAACATGTCCCAGTCACATGGGAATGCGACGTGCAAAACGCATGCCTCTCCTGAGAAATCTTACCCTCGGCGGGACTCGAACCCGCAATCCCCGGTTTCGGAGTCCGAAGCCTTATCCATTAGGCCACGAGGGCGGCGGTCTGAGATGGCGTGTGGAAAAAATGAAAATGTTTCATTCAAATATAATAAAACATTTTTGACAAAAATTTCTCTTTCAAGAACTAATTCGATTAAAGAAAAGTACAAAAATGTGACTTCATCCGTCCGCTCTGCTCTTGGGATATTTCTCAATAACTCTGTGAGACCGATGCCCACACAGTATTTGTGAAATAGCCACACTTAAATTGAATTAAAAACATGTCCCAGTCACATGGGAATGCGACGTGCAAAACGCATGCCTCTCCTGAGAAATCTTACCCTCGGCGGGACTCGAACCCGCAATCCCCGGTTTAGGAGACCGATGCCTTATCCATTAGGCCACGAGGGCGGCGGACTGAGATGGCGTGTGGAAAAAATGAAAATGTTTCATTCAAATATAATAAAACATTTTTGACAAAAATTTCTCTTTCAAGAACTAATTCGATTAAAGAAAAGTACAAGATATGTGACTTCATCCGTCCGCTCTGCTCTTGGGATATTTCTCAATAACTCTCACACAGTATTTGTGAAATAGCCACACTTAAATTGAATTAAAAACATGTCCCAGTCACATGGGAATGCGACGTGCAAAACGCATGCCTCTCCTGAGAAATCTTACCCTCGGCGGGACTCGAACCCGCAATCCCCGGTTTAGGAGACCGATGCCTTATCCATTAGGCCACGAGGGCGGCGGACTGAGATGGCGTGTGGAAAAAATGAAAATGTTTCATTCAAATATAATAAAACATTTTTGACAAAAATTTCTCTTTCAAGAACTAATTCGATTAAAGAAAAGTACAAGATATGTGACTTCATCCGTCCGCTCTGCTCTTGGGATATTTCTCAATAACTCTCACACAGTATTTGTGAAATAGCCACACTTAAATTGAATTAAAAACATGTCCCAGTCACATGGGAATGCGACGTGCAAAACGCATGCCTCTCCTGAGAAATCTTACCCTCGGCGGGACTCGAACCCGCAATCCCCGGTTTAGGAGACCGATGCCTTATCCATTAGGCCACGAGGGCGGCGGACTGAGATGGCGTGTGGAAAAAAAAATGAAAATGTTTCATTCAAATATAATAAAACATTTTTGACAAAAATTTCTTTCAAGAACTTTAATTCGATTAAAGAAAAGTACAAGATATGTGACTTCATCCGTCCGCTCTGCTCTTGGGATATTTCTCAATAACTCTCACACAGTATTTGTGAAATAGCCACACTTAAATTGAATTAAAAACATGTCCCAGTCACATGGGAATGCGACGTGCAAAACGCATGCCTCTCCTGAGAAATCTTACCCTCGGCGGGACTCGAACCCGCAATCCCCGGTTTAGGAGACCGATGCCTTATCCATTAGGCCACGAGGGCGGCGGACTGAGATGGCGTGTGGAAAAAATGAAAATGTTTCATTCAAATATAATAAAACATTTTTGACAAAAATTTCTCTTTCAAGAACTAATTCGATTAAAGAAAAGTACAAGATATGTGACTTCATCCGTCCGCTCTGCTCTTGGGATATTTCTCAATAACTCTCACACAGTATTTGTGAAATAGCCACACTTAAATTGAATTAAAAACATGTCCCAGTCACATGGGAATGCGACGTGCAAAACGCATGCCTCTCCTGAGAAATCTTACCCTCGGCGGGACTCGAACCCGCAATCCCCGGTTTAGGAGACCGATGCCTTATCCATTAGGCCACGAGGGCGGCGGACTGAGATGGCGTGTGGAAAAAAATGAAAATGTTTCATTCAAATATAATAAAACATTTTTGACAAAAATTTCTCTTTCAAGAACTAATTCGATTAAAGAAAAGTACAAGATATGTGACTTCATCCGTCCGCCCTGCTCTTGGGATATTTCTCAATAACTCTCACACAGTGTTTGTGAAATAGCCACACTTAAATTGAATTAAAAACATGTCCCAGTCACATGGGAATGCGACGTGCAAAACGCATGCCTCTCCTGAGAAATCTTACCCTCGGCGGGACTCGAACCCGCAATCCCCGGTTTAGGAGACCGATGCCTTATCCATTAGGCCACGAGGGCGGCGGTCTGAGACAGCGTGTGGAAAAAAATGAAAATGTTTCATTCAAATATAATAAAACATTTTTGACAAAAATTTCTCTTTCAAGAACTTATTCGATTAAAGAAAAGTACAAGATATGTGACTTCATCCGTCCGCTCTGCTCTTGGGATATTTCTCAATAACTCTCACACAGTATTTGTGAAATAGCCACACTTAAATTGAATTAAAAACATGTCCCAGTCACATGGGAATGCGACGTGCAAAACGCATGCCTCTCCTGAGAAATCTTACCCTCGGCGGGACTCGAACCCGCAATCCCCGGTTTAGGAGACCGATGCCTTATCCATTAGGCCACGAGGGCGGCGGTCTGAGATGGCGTGTGGAAAAAAATGAAAATGTTTCATTCAAATATAATAAAACATTTTTGACAAAAATTTCTCTTTCAAGAACTAATTGATTAAAGAAAAGTACAAGATATGTGACTTCATCCGTCCGCTCTGCTCTTGGGATATTTCTCAATAACTCTCACATGTATTTGTGAAATAGCCACACTTAAATTGAATTAAAAACATGTCCCAGTCACATGGGAATGCGACGTGCAAAACGCATGCCTCTCCTGAGAAATCTTACCCTCGGCGGGACTCGAACCCGCAATCCCCGGTTTCGGAGACCGATGCCTTATCCATTAGGCCACGAGGGCGGCGGACTGAGATGGCGTGTGGAAAAAATGAAAATGTTTCATTCAAATATAATAAAACATTTTGACAAAAATTTCTCTTTCAAGAACTAATTCGATTAAAAGAAAAGTACAAGATATGTGACTTCATCCGTCCGCTCTGCTCTTGGGATATTTCTCAATAACTCTCACACAGTATTTGTGAAATAGCCACACTTAAATTGAATTAAAAACATGTCCCAGTCACATGGGAACGCGACGTGCAAAACGCATGCCTCTCTGAGAAATCTTACCCTCGGCGGGACTCGAACCCGCAATCCCCGGTTTAGGAGACCGATGCCTTATCCATTAGGCCACGAGGGCGGCGGTCTGAGATGGCGTGTGGAAAAAAAATGAAAATGTTTCATTCAAATATAATAAAACATTTTTGACAAAAATTTCTCTTTCAAGAACTAATTCGATTAAAGAAAAGTACAAGATATGTGACTTCATCCGTCCGCTCTGCTCTTGGGATATTTCTCAATAACTCTCACACAGTGTTTGTGAAATAGCCACACTTAAATTGAATTAAAAACATGTCCCAGTCACATGGGAATGCGACGTGCAAAACGCATGCCTCTCCTGAGAAATCTTACCCTCGGCGGGACTCGAACCCGCAATCCCCGGTTTAGGAGACCGATGCCTTATCCATTAGGCCACGAGGGCGGCGGACTGAGATGGCGTGTGGAAAAAAATGAAAATGTTTCATTCAAATATAATAAAACATTTTTGACAAAAATTTCTCTTTCAAGAACTAATTCGATTAAAGAAAAGTACAAGATATGTGACTTCATCCGTCCGCTCTGCTCTTGGGATATTTCTCAATAACTCTCACACAGTATTTGTGAAATAGCCACACTTAAATTGAATTAAAAACATGTCCCAGTCACATGGGAATGCGACGTGCAAAACGCATGCCTCTCCTGAGAAATCTTACCCTCGGCGGGACTCGAACCCGCAATCCCCGGTTTAGGAGACCGATGCCTTATCCATTAGGCCACGAGGGCGGCGGACTGAGATGGCGTGTGGAAAAAAATGAAAATGTTTCATTCAAATATAATAAAACATTTTTGACAAAAATTTCTCTTTCAAGAACTAATTCGATTAAAGAAAAGTACAAGATATGTGACTTCATCCGTCCGCTCTGCTCTTGGGATATTTCTCAATAACTCTCACACAGTATTTGTGAAATAGCCACACTTAAATTGAATTAAAAACATGTCCCAGTCACATGGGAATGCGACGTGCAAAACGCATGCCTCTCCTGAGAAATCTTACCCTCGGCGGGACTCGAACCCGCAATCCCCGGTTTAGGAGACCGATGCCTTATCCATTAGGCCACGAGGGCGGCGGTCTGAGATGGCGTGTGGAAAAAAATGAAAATGTTTCATTCAAATATAATAAAACATTTTTGACAAAAATTTCTCTTTCAAGAACTAATTCGATTAAAGAAAAGTACAAGATATGTGACTTCATCCGTCCGCTCTGCTCTTGGGATATTTCTCAATAACTCTCACACAGTATTTGTGAAATAGCCACACTTAAATTGAATTAAAAACATGTCCCAGTCACATGGGAATGCGACGTGCAAAACGCATGCCTCTCCTGAGAAATCTTACCCTCGGCGGGACTCGAACCCGCAATCCCCGGTTTAGGAGACCGATGCCTTATCCATTAGGCCACGAGGGCGGCGGACTGAGATGGCGTGTGGAAAAAAAATGAAAATGTTTCATTCAAATATAATAAAACATTTTTGACAAAAATTTCTCTTTCAAGAACTAATTCGATTAAAGAAAAGTACAAGATATGTGACTTCATCCGTCCGCTCTGCTCTTGGGATATTTCTCAATAACTCTCACACAGTATTTGTGAAATAGCCACACTTAAATTGAATTAAAAACATGTCCC